TCTTCCCCCCCCCTCCACACCCACTCCCCCCTGACGCCCCCACACCCGCAGTGCTGCGAGACGTGAGAGCCAGCAGGACACCCAAGCCTGAGCTTTCCCTTCCCTTCCCTTCCTCCCCTTCTTCCCCCTTCTAGCTCCCTTCTCCCAGGTTTCCCCTCCACCCTCACTCCTCCCTCCCCCCACCCCAGTTATGTAAAATAAAAAGAGATTTTGGTTGTTAAAACAGGTGTCTTTATTTGACATTAGGAAGAGGGGTCAGGGAGGGGAAAGGGGAAAGAGGGAGGGTGGAAGAAGGCCCCAGTGGGGCATGCAGGGAGAGTTCAGTCCTCCTCCTCCACCTGGAAGCTCTCCCGCAGGGCTTCCCAGATCCGGACGGCCCCCCACACTGGGCTTCCCAGACAGCGGCAGTGCGAGGCTGTGTAATGGCCAGCCATGCGCTCAGTCTCAGCCATCCAGGCTGGCAGGAAAGCCTCCCTCTTTCAGTCACGCAAATTGGCATTCAGTCGGCCGAAGGCCCCCTTGATCACAATGTGGGCCCTGGTCAGCTTGGCATTAAAGGCCTGGCGGGAGAGGTTAAGGTGCCCCATGTACTGTTTCATCAGCCAGGGCTGTAGGGGGTAGGCCGCATCCCCCACCAGGCACACGGGCATGTCCACGTCCCCAACCCTGATGCGGCAGTCAGGGAAGAAAGTCCCAGCCTGCAGCCTCTGGCACACGGAGGAGTTCCGGTACACCCTGGAGTCGTGTGCCTTGCCGGACCAGCCCACAATAATGTCCATGAACTGGCCCCGGTGGTCACACACGGCCTGCAGGAGGACGGAGAAGTACCCCTTGCGGTTCACGTACTGGGAGGCCTGGTGTTCCGGAGCACGGATGGGGATGTGCGTCCAGTCGATGGCCCCCCCATAGTTGGGGAAGCCGAGGGCACCGAATCCCCGGATGACAGAGTCTGGGTTGGCGAGGCGGACCACCCTGTGGAGCAGCACCCGGTTGATGGCCTTGACCATCTGCAGAGAGACACACCAAACCGCGAATCACTGGGGTGCCCAGGTGGCTGGGAGTGTTCGTTCCCTGGCACTGCCCCACGCTTCACTCCCGGAAGCAATCCCCGTTATGATCCTGGCCACTGCGGATGGCGTGTAGTACGGCCGGGACAAACTGAACCCTCCTGTGTGGGGCACTTTCGCCTCCTCCCCCCCGTTTTCCCTGGGGCGGCCCATTCCCTCCTTGCAACCCTCCTCCCCCC